AACGCTCGAATTCCCCGAGATAAAACGAGAGACGCCCCGGCATTTCGAGGTGTCCTGGACACCCATTCCCAATTTCCTCTGTGTGACAGAACTTAGACGGAATTAACTCGTGGGTAAATAACTCGTGACTCTCGTGTACACTCACTCGTGACAAAACTTCGGGCTAAACGCCGCATCTCCTTCTCTCTTCTCTCTCCTTCCCCCCCTCCCTCCCCGTTTTCCTCTCTATTTCACTTCTCCTTTCCACCATCCTTTGTTCTTCGTCCGCTCTTCGTCATCCACCGATCTCTCGTCCTCGTGTTCGCCCGTCTCGCTTCGTGATCACGCGCACGTCCCCTGTCCACTGTGTGAGATCGATCAAACATTCCCCCATTTGTGAATTCAAACATTCCCCGTGACACTTCTTAATATATTACGAAGAGGAGAGGAGAGAAAAAAATTGGATTTGATCCGAAGGAAGAAGATCAGGAGGAAGGAGAGGAGGAAAAAGGAAGGAGGAGGAGAAGGATCATTGCGGAGAAGTGAGTAACAAGTATAAGAGAGTGTGTGTATATAATACGCGGGCATGCCGGATGCTTGGAGACATCAACGCGCGGACGGGACATGCGCTCTCTTGCTCTCTCGCTTTTGTGCGGGCTCTCGACGTGCCGCGGCGCCCCTCTTCTCCCCCCTCGATATCGATGACATCCTCTTCCGAGATCGATACGCGCTCCTTCGTGAAGAAATGGAGGTTGATCGATTTTTAAAATGGCGCGGTGACAACGTAAGGAATATATTCCCCCGGATCGGGATGCTGTTCGAGCCATTCGAAATGCGCATTATTCCTTTCCCTTCCATAAACATGGAGTTTCGAGCGGTCGCCCACCCCACCCCCCTCCTCCCTCCCCGTGTCACGCCGTCGATCCGGTCACAGACCAGTTCCTTCGTCCGGAGACAACGGAATATTTCTCACGATCTCGCGCACGCCACGCACACTGCCTCCATAGATTATGCTCGTTTCGTAGAGTGGTGGTTGTTGTAATACTACTGGTCGCGGGGAAGGGGACACGAAGGTGGAACGAACGGGTTTATCGGTATCGGCCGGACGATGAATAAAAATGCCCCCAAGGAATAATATGTCGAGGAATTGTGGCGTCGAGGAAGGGACGAATGATCAGGGTCGTAGATTCTTTCCTTTTTTTTTTTTTTTTTAAAGAAGAGGATCGAAGAGATGCCGTTGATTTTGTAAGATCCAAGGTATAGATACACTGTGTAGTTAGAGTGTGACTCATAGTTAATGGATTCTACGTTCATGTATATTTATAATGATACTACGCAAGAAAAATTCGATATATTCTTGTTTAAATTGCAGTTTTAATTGCGGACGGTTGTTTTCTAAAAACTTTTTCTAAAAATGTAATATACGTGTATATGTATACATAGCATCAATGTGTCCGATTTATGTTTTGAAAAATTGAAGTTGAAATTAACTTCGTCGAATCTTTTTCGAATTCTGAAACGAAAAATAATCCGCAAAGATTCTTCTTTTCATATTCGATGATGGAATAACGCAGATAAATAAAAATTGATAAATTTCTCGATGAAATTCGTCGAGTTAAGCTCTCTGGCTTAGTAGACGATTTCATCAAGTGAAATCGGATATTTCTATCGGATCTAAAACATTGGAAATAAATTTTACCGTGGAGATATTTGAATATTGGAACGAATCGAATTCGTACGTTCGTCGAATATTTCTTTCTTTCTTTTTTTTTTTTTTTTTAATTTTTAACATGTCCGTAATAAGAACAAGAAACAGTTTGATCTAGATGCCCGATTAGGCGAAAGTATTCAAGGACAGTGAATCGTGTGACCTCCCGTTGTTGCTGGAGAAAGATAGTGTCCCGTTATTAACATTCATTCATGTCACGCAGAAGTTCAAACAACGTTGAAGAGATATTAGCAACCAAGAAGTGGCTAATGAACCATTGTAACTAATGAATTATCAACGAGAAAACTGTCTGTTTGCTCAAAACGTTGCAAAAACGGAATATCGACAGTGGCAAAGAAATACCTGCGAGTACCTTTGCTTCCTAATTCTTAAAATTAAATCTAATTAACAGATATTTAAATATCGTCGATATTAAAATACAAAGTTGCAAAATGTTGGTATGCAAATAATTTTTATGGCCGCTAAAAAATATTTGAAATTATAATTTTTAATATTAATATTTTATATTAAAATTACCGATCGTACAAAGCGATTTGGAATGATCTGTAATTTTCCTGTTGCCGACAAATTTTATTTATCCTCATTGCGATTTACGTAAACGGAGAAATCAAATAGCAGTAAATACAATCATTATCAAACCATTGTATTATTCTAAAAATTATTATTCGTGGAACATTTTGATTGAATTGTGACGAATAATTTGAAGAATTTTATTGGGGATTAGAGAATGGAATGGTTAATTATAGCTGTTGTTACGCTTTTAAAGCTTCCAATCAGTGCATCGATAAAGAGAGCAGACTTTAGGAAGCACTTTCACCGTGAATTTTAACTCGTTCCGTATCACTCGCAATCGAACTTTCAACAAACGGGTATAACAACTTCTTCCAATTACAGCCAACGCCAAATATTTGCACAATCTTCAACGATATTTGCGAAATAATCCTTCTTCGAATCGGATATCTTGCTTCAATTAAATCGTAATTGATACGATGATAATTTGTCTCGTTGATAATACAAAATTCACGAAATGTAATGTAAAAATTTAAAATCTTGAATTATTAAATTAAAAAAAATAAGAGAAAATTGAAACATTATCAAATATCAAATAAAATTAATACTACGAACGAGTAGAAATTGAAAAAATTAAATATAATTAGAAAAATAAAAGTTTGATAAAGTTATAATTTCTCGAATTATAATTTCAAAAAAAAAAAAA